ATAAAATTATTATATATTATTTTTAAGAAATAATTATTAAACAATTTTACTCATAAAATTATCTACTAAATTAATACTTTCAAAAAATATAATAGAAAATATAAAATATGAAATAGAATTGTGTTTGATTTCCAATTAAATTTGTTTTGATATATATATAAGAAAAACAATTAATTCAATTTAAGATTGGGTATTAGTAAATGACAAATAAAGGTTTGAGTTAGTTCATTTCATCTTACTGTCTGTGAAATAGACAGATGGTGTATCAGTGAAAGATTGGTATCTCACTTTGCTGGTTAGGAGACTGGATTACTGGACATGACTCGAAAAATCGATTACCTTTCTTCCACCTGCGTGTTAGATTCAAACGAGATTATACGATTGGTTGGAACATCGATTATGCCAACTGGAAAATATCGATCTAAAGAATCTTGTACTCGAATAAATTGAAAATAAAATAATCAAATAATCAAAATAATCAAAATTTATCATTGGAAAAGCAATATTTTCAAAATTCAAACTATTTTGTTGATTTTAAACGAACAAAAAACAAAATGAAAACTTTCTATTATCTTTTTCATTTGATAAAATATAATCGAATAAATTGAAAATAAATTAATCAAAAAATTATCATTGGAAAAGTAATATTTTCAAAACTCAAACTGTTTTGTTGATTTTAAACGAACAAAAAATGAAATGAAATGTTTCTATTAATACTAGTTTTGTAAAACTCGAGATTACTGTTGTACGTCATGTTTATTTCGTACGATTGATAAATAAATAAAAAAAAAGAAGAAAAACAACAACTGTAATTTAAAGAAAAATACGTCATGGGAGATAGTGGATAAAATATTAAATATTACCAAAGAACAAAGTATGAATAAGTGAACATGATTTAAAGAAAATATTTATAACCAATAACGTCGTAATCGTGAAAAATAATAAAAGTAAAATATTTGTATACATTTTTTACATACAAAAATTTCATTCTCCATGAAATGAGATATCATTTAAATAAATCAATTTATTTGTTATAATAATAAACCCCATTATTAATCTTTGCTTACCACCCTTCTTGGAGTAACACGCTTACCACACTCGGGTCTTTTGGACCCGGATGAGAAAAATTGTTATAAAAAAAGAACTATTGCATAAAAATGACTCCAACATTTTTTAAAGACTTCTTTAATACTCACTTAAAAAGACTATATAAGTTTGATAGCTTTAAATTAGATTTAAATGTGTTGAAAAAATTATCAAAGTTGAACAATTGAGACAAATGATTCAAGTTGCAAAATAAAGGTCTGGCTCTTTTGGACCAAGTGTGGTTGCACAAAGGTTAAATATTAAATTCGTAATAAACGTAAATGAATGAACAAAAGCGTAATAAAAGAAATATTGTGAGAAGATAATTTCAAATAAAAAAAAAAAAAAAAAAATGATAATATAAAAATATATTTTACAAATAATACGATATAATCCATCTTTTCAAGTAAATAAAATACGCGCGATATTTTGATAGGAATTATTTCAACGAGTAACATCATTGTATTAAAATGAAATATTTCAATGAAACTTTTGTCTCATGGTATAATATTGATGGTACAGATGGTATCCTAGTAATGGAAGTTGGTACAAAAAAAAAAAGAAATAAGGTTAATGTCTCATTTCTATTAAATTTTATCATTCCATGGAATATATTTTATTAAATAATATTATTTCAAAAGGTACTCTGAAATATTACGTTTCCATCTGCTATTTTCTTGATCGACTAGTAGTTTTACTATTTCCCTAATCGATTACTTTCGTCCATTAACCTTGATAGTATAATATAATAAAACTTATGCTTAAAATAACCTCATAGATCGTGAGACTGACTAATGAATAAAAGTCTTTGAAAAAGTTTCCATCTCATTGAATCTTTTCTAACGAGTCTAAAGTTCATGATATTCAATTTTATTTTTTTTTTTCTTCTTCTTCTTCTTCTTCTTCTTTTTTCTTTATTCTTTATTCTTTATTCTTTATAAAGGAAAATATTCGTTATATTTTTATTCTTATAATTTTTAAAAATATCTAATTGTGAGCATAATTATGAAAAGTGGTGTCGTAAGTCATGTATCTCTTGTTTCGAGATATTTCAAGATTTCTATTTGAACGTTATTTAATATATAATAATAAATACAATATTTAATATTTAATATTAAAGGAAGCTATATTATTAATATAAAAATATTAAAATATTAACAAAATATGAAATAAAAATTCTACGTAAATTTGATCATAGGTGTTACATGCAAGTATTATAGATTAATATATGCGAACATGTCGAAGGTTGACCAACGAGGAACGTAATGCGAACCACGGTTTGGCTAATAAGCTATCATGTCTAGTAACCACGTATGCGAAACTATATCTAACACGAATAACCACCATGGTACCCTGCGGCATCTTCCACTACCCATCGTTGAATTTAATTGATTCCTACGAGACGAAGATAACCACACCACCTCCTCTTACATTTTACTCAATATCTTATTCCAGTCTTCTAGTTTTTTAAATGATTTAATTAATTGTTTTTTACACGTCAATAAAATAAAATTTATAAAAATGTAGATTTCATTTGTTCCTAACCTTTAATTTTCAAATTACTTGATCGATTGTTTTAGAAATTTTGACACAACTTTGGATTAGTATACAGATACGTTTTTATTACATTAATTTATTTATAAGATAATTAATTAATTTTTTAAAAATAATTTTATGATACAGGTAAGTGTCCAGTGCCATCTGTTGGCCATAGATTTCGATGAGTGCACGAAATATTTGAACATAACCAAACTTTTATCTATACGACAACGTCATATTTTGAACAAATTTTAAATGATCATTTTAAATAGTAAAAAAAAAGGCAACTTGCATTAATAAAATTATTTAATTATGAGCCACAAATATTTTTTAACACCTCAAAAAACAAAATTTAAAGTTAACCATTGATCTAAATTGCAATGAAAGTGCAATATATGTTGTCATTCAGTTTCCCACTTGTTTCTTTTTGTAACTTAGATTGATATGCACCTATCAACACAGTTGAAATCATCTTTTGTTCCTCAAAGTGTTCAAGAGAGAGATAGAGATAGAGATAGAGATAGAGAGAGAGAGAGAGAGGAAAATGTTAAGTTGGTGTTGGTAAGGTGTTCATCTCGTCTACAATTTAATTGGCATTTGAAGGTTGTAGGAAACATCGTGGAAGCTAACAACTATCGTTTCTAACTTTAACGTTAGGAAAACTCTTTTGTGTGGTGTAAACTTGAATAATTCTCATTCATCATACCCTATATCTCTCTCTTTCTCCTTTTATCATTTCAACAAAGGAACTTTCTATCAGTGGGCTGCATTTTCTCACTAACAAAATAAACAACCAAGTAAGTTTTCTTACTTTTCAAATGAAACACACACAGGTGTGTGTCAAATGTTTGAGAAGATTTTTTTTTTTTTTGGACACCCATTACTACACCATGCTGAAGAATCGTGTTTGAGAGATTGGAATTGAAACAAATTAAATAAAATAAAATAATAGAAAGAGAGAGAGAGAGAGAGAGAGAGAGAGAGAGAGAGAGAGATAGGGGAAAAGAAAATACATAGAGATAATTGTGAAAATACAGTAAAATAGAATAGACTCATAGAAAATACATACGTGTTCACATATAAACGTATATAAACACACATACGTTTTGTAGGAAAGCATGCTTTACGTAGAATACAATGTATATTTTACAAATGTACACCGTGTATATATTCAATTGTAAGTGTATCTGTATATATATACGTGTACAAAGATAAATACGAAATAATAGAAAAAATATCTAGCAACGAATGAGTATTGGAATACGTGACTTTTATCTTTTACAATAAGTTGGTATATGAAATAGATGAAAATAGATAAAAATTGTTTAAAGTAATCTACCATAATGGATACAGGTTGATTTAGAATGAAAATTGGAAGTTAGATGAAACAATTTAGTGACATATCATTGGTTTCCAATGAATTTTGAATTTACTGAAACGAATTACTGAAAATTTTTATTGATTTTCTGTGAATTATTATTTAGTTTTTATTACTAATTTATGGATTTATTATTTTAGAGGTTATGAAGGTTTCTAGGTTCTGTAAATGTTCGATAGATGGTGGTATATTTCAATTCAATTGAATTTAGATGAATTAGGTTGATTTAGAATGAAAATTGGAAGTTAGATGAAACAATTTAATGTCAAATTGTTGGTTTCCAATGAATTTTGAATTTACTGAAACGAATTACTGAAAATTTTTATTGATTTTCTGTGAATTATTATTTAGTTTTTATTACTAATTTATGGATTTATTATTTTAAAGGTTATGTAGGTTTCTAGGTTCTGTAAATGTTCGATAGATGATGATGTATTTCAATTCAATTATTACAATTTACATAGGACCTTACTTATTAGTAAGAGTAAGAAATAGTAGAAGAAATAGTAGTAGTAGTAGTAGAAGAAGAAGAAGTAATAGTTATAAAATTAGTAGAAGAAATAGAGAAGAAATAGAGAAGAAATAGATAGAAGATAGTAGAGAAGTCAATTAAGATACTCGTAAAATACACTCGATGGTTCGTGATACTTACTCTAACTGCGCTCTGGATTCCAATACAGTTACAGTGAAATGGTGCATGAAACAGAAAAAGATTCATGATTAATTAATTAAATGTTCTTAAAACAACATCTAATCCTTTCTCTTCTCACATTCTAAAAAAAAACAAAAAATTCAACGCACATTTCAAATAAATAAATATAACATCTATCTATCATTTTTATTTCTTCCATTTTATTTTAACAATTTCAATTTGTTCTAAATAAGATACTTCGTAATGGAATGATAAATGAATAATAGATGAATGAAAATGTTAACTCAATTTTTGTTATATTTTATTCTTAATTTGGAGTTTCGTAGGAAAAAAAAAAATAAAAATGAAAAGTATCTATTTGAAAGTAAAGTTTCCTAACAAAGTGTCATTAAAAATGGATTACAAATGAAGATAGAATATACGAAGTAAAAGTATTACTTTTAGATTTGTATTAAGAAGATTTTCTAAAACGGCAGACTGATCGAGATGAAATATCGATCATGATCGTTTCGACTAGTTAAGTGTAAAAGCGAAACGAAGTAAGTAGTACTAAGTACGTACCTATATCTTCTTTAAAAGTTTCCTCAAAGATTATTCCGAGGATTATCTTCTTCGCGAAGTTAATCGTTCGCAAAGAGAAAGTTTCAAATAAACGATAACCCTATAAACTTCGAGGTTACTAATATTACGTCTGTTTTATATGAAATTAATCGAATATCAATGTATTTTACAATTCCATATATATATATATATATATAGAATTATTATATATAGTTATATAGTATCAAACAATAATTATATATTAAATAATATTATATATTAATTGTATTATAATATATAAATGTGTATTATATAGAACCAACTAATAGTTATATATTAAATATATAATTATTAGTTGGTACTATAACACATATTATATATAATATAATATATTTAATATATATTTTAAATTATTTTAATATAATATATATAATATACAATAATATAATAGTTTAAATAATCTACCAAACATTATATTAATAATCTATAATTATTTTTTAAATTTATTGGCTTCTAATCAAACTTCAATTATAAAATTCAATATTACTGAATGTATTCCCTATAAATAAATGAATAATACTTGTGTTAATCGTAAATAGGTCTATTGCAAATAAATTTGATTGAAATAACTCGAATTGATTAACAATCCCCATAATCAATGCCTGTTGTGTTCGCGTGTCTATAAAATCTCGTTCCATAAATTTCTCATCGTCAATTTAAACGATTTCATCGGAATCGTTGATCATTTACGTTCTTACCTGGTAGTATAATATTCGAAGAAGGCAACGAGTATTTCCAACGATCTGGTTACTGCGGCCCACATAGTTAAATTTGTTCACGAACGTTGGTATTAACACACCTTATAACGTTATTATTAAATCTAATCGATCTCACTATTCCCAACACACATATACAAATTCTTTTCACTAGCAATTAATAATAATTCACAAGTCTTTTTATTATCATCTACCACATAGGTGTAAAATAAAGGGTGAGGGAAAAAATAGGATAGAATAATTGTCTCCTTAAATTCATTTTTTTCTTTTTTTTATAATAATATTCTTAATATGTGTGGATAATGGGAATAATATGAAAAGAATAAAACAAATATAAATTATTTTTTTTTTTTTTTACGAAATATAACTGCTTTTGAAATTGTTTATAAATTTGTTAATAAAGAGAGTAAGTTCAATATTAAATAAATAATATTAATAATTTTAATTAATATTATTATTTATAATCGAATAAAATATATATNATAGCCGCCTACCGCTCCGTTACATAGCCGCCTACCGCTCCGTTACATAGCCGCCTACCGCTCCGTTACATAGCCGCCTACCGCTCCGTTAAATTTTTGCAAATCACTGAATTTTCATATATAGAATTGTATTAATTAATTAATTATTATATAGAATTAAATTATATATTGATTTAATTAATTAATTAATTATTTTTGTTGCATTGGTTTCACGTTTTTCCGTTTCACGATTTTTAAATCACCCTGATTCTAAGGAAGTTTTCATTTCAATAAAAAGAAGAAGAAGAAGAAAAAAATAAATAAATGCATGGAACAAAAAATAAAAAAATTGGAATAAAATCTAAAAAAAAAAAAAAAAAAATATACAAAAAGGATGACAGTGAGAGAGTTTAGGAGAATTAAGAAAAGAATTTGTATCATCAGTCGATAATAAAAGGGCTAGGTGTTGGGTATGATTGCAGTTATCGTTTTCGAATTGCCGTAGGCGTCGTCAGTGGTTGTGTTAAAAATGCAAGAAAAGAGAAGTAAGAACAAAAAAATTTCCCAGTGACTTTTTCAATGGATACGTACTCCTATCCAACACCCATTCGTCCACCCACTCACTCACCCAACGCAATATGGCGTCGTTATATATTCGCGTGCATGCACACGGTTTAAAATACACCGTTTTACGTTTAACAAAAGAAATTCATGGAACACACACACATATATATATATATATAACTGGTATTCAACACGCACCCCTTTTTTTTTCCTTCTTTCTTTCCCTTTCTCAACCTTTTTTTCATTCTCTCTTTCTGTTTCTTTTTTTTTTTTTTTTCTTTTTCCATTTTACATCGAATGAAGGAGAACATATACGCCCAAGAAATTCTATCGTTGGATTATATGATAATAAAATAGAACTGAAAGGTAAAAAAAAAAGGATTGAAATAGTGCTAATACCTGTGGGTGGTGAAGTGAAGAGTAAAGGGGTGAAAAATGGGTTGGGGAGGGGAAAATGGGGAGAAAAAATTTACATATCTTTCGCATAGTTTTTAATGGTTGATTTCATTCATTCGTTTCAATGCTTTTCTTTCAATATTTCTGTTATACTTTTCTTTCATTTTTTTTTTTCTTTCTTTCTAGAATCTATCTACTTCATTTCATTGGTATATTTAATTAAAATTTTACCTTACGGAATATCGATCATGATAAAAAAAAATGAAAAAAAGAAAAGAAAATAATACAAAAATACGTCGTTAGGATGAGAAAATATCTATAACAGTATGAATATTTCAATATCCGTTTCTTCTGATAATCGTAAAATTCGTTCTCGAAGGATCATCGAATAATAAATGAATTCAATTTCAAGTAGGAAGAAAATATTCCGTGTATTATACTAATGCTTGTTGCATCTATGTTTGATATACATAGCAAAACATTTTCTTTTATATTGAGTCTAACGAATGTTGTATTATAAATTAGGTTGTTAGAATATTTTTCTATTTTTGTATTTTTCTTATTATTTTATTTGTAATTAGAAATTTTATAGAAATCTAATATATATATATATATATATAATTTTATTTATTTAATATATTAATATAATAATTATAATTATTAATTTAATATATTATAGTAATTATATTAATTAAATTATATATATTATCAAGTTCTATATTTGGAATTAAAATATATATATATATAGATCTAAATTGTATTATTATAATANTAAAGAGAGTAAGTTCAATATTAAATAAATAATATTAATAATTTTAATTAATATTATTATTTATAATCGAATAAAATATATATTATATATTTTTATTTTTAAATTATATTATTATTATTATATATATATATATATAAAATATTATAATTTTATCTATTATATTAATAATAAATTTTTATTATAATAGAAATAAATATTATATATTAAATAAATTAAAATAATTTAATCAATATAATATTATTTATTTAAAAAAATACATAATATATTAAAATTAATATAATATATTAATAATAATATAATAATATTTATATTAATTATAATTAATTAATATAAATGTTAGGCCTATAATAAAATATAAATTTTAAAATGACTTTATTTCTAACTTTATTTGCTTTTTTTTCCCCCTTTTTAAATAAATTCTAATACAGATAATTAAATTAAAAAAAAAAAAAAAAGAAATAGAATTTAGACAGATAGATAGTAATAGTCAAAAACTTTTCGTTGTTAATCATATTTGGATATTATGATAGGAATGATGTTTGTTGAAGATTTACGAGTATCTGGCGTTGACGTTTTATGAAAATGCACGACATGATAAATGTAACAACGTTTTATGTCGTACTCTCTATCACCAAAGTATGTGTGGTTTATTATATATATATGAGTGTGCGTGTGTTCATACTAATATATTCTACATATGAATATGCAACATTGAAAAATATTAAAATCAATGTTATTTCAAAACTTACTTTTTTAATTCGAATTAAAATCATATAAAAAATTCTCTTTTTTTTTTTTATTTATTATCATTTTATTAATACGTAATAAATAATAATATTCGATTTATCAGTATAATTATACAGTTAACATCATCTACTTCGAAAAGTAGGTTCCTTTCGTAATCCGTTTCCTTTAATTATCTGAGACATTGAAGTCACCGTAAATGCAGTGTCTTGTGATTTAAGTTGAGTTAAGTTAAGTTAAGGTTACGACAAAGAAGTTATACGCCGAAGGTAATGAGTCAGCTCTAATATCTTACAAAATAATCAACAACTGGTATGTCCCTCTAATTTATTATCAACTTTTAAGACAATCCTGACACAAAACCCCATGTATTATTTTTATGTTTATTACATATTACTTAATCATTCATTATGATTAATTATCATTAAAAATAAGAAATTTACTACTCTTCACTATTTTTCATTCGTCTTGTTCATTTATTTTTCTAATTTTTTTTTTTTTTT